TCCAGTGCATCCTGACGGATCGGGTCATAGAATGGTGTTGGAAGTACTTAGGAACGTTATGAATTTAATATTTATGATATATACATATATGCACAATAACCTTGGTCGGTATTTATTTTGTATTTGACACGTTTTATTTTTTTATATTAAGTTTGATATGTATTGAGATAACCAACTGTGATAATTATCACGACTAAGTGGTTGCAACCGCAAAAGACGGGTCATAAGAAAGGGTTGGAATATATCATTATATATCGGGGATAGCTACTTATTCTAGAACTTCAAAATTTTCAAAATTTGAATACAATATTGTGTTTTGTCACTTATTGTCTTATAATTCTAATGTTTAAAAAAAAAAAAATACCATTGCTGCTTCTATAGAAAACTATTATTTTAAAATAAATATATTTTTAGTTTGTCTAAGAACATAAGTAAAGTTATTTTAAAATACTTAATATTATCGTAACGTGTGGACTAGGTTATTATAATTATAGTGAACGGGGAACAAATGTGTAAAGTGTTATACAAACTATTAAAAACCTAATATTTACCGTGCCGAAAAAAAAATGTTTTATTATTTTAAATGTAGCGTATTCATATTCATAGTATATTTATATAACACGTGCGCATTTTATTTGCACTATGTTCATAAATTAACGATAACTCAGCTTAATGCTGTTTAAAGTAGTGCAAAAATTTAATGACTCGCTGTATTCGTATCTACCGAGTAGTAAATTTCGTAATAGGTACAATACCTATATTATGTTTAATTTGGTATGCATTACTGTTTTTATGATAATTTATTATATATTATAGCTTTAAAATCAATCTCACCATGAGAACTAGTGTTGAATTTGTAACGTAATTTAAAATGTTGTAAGCGTCCAGAAACTAATCAATGGAACTATTGTACCCAAACATAATATGAATCATCTAATTACTATTATGAACTTTAAATCGTTAATACTTAAAATACAACCATTATTAATATAACTATTTGATATTAACATTTTTATTTTCATTAGATTAGATTAGATTAGAAAAAGATTAATATTTCAAAAATTGAATTTTTAGGAAGTTACAAAAAATTGTTTATTTCCTTAATTTTTACTTGAACCGAAAACTTGTCTGTAAAATATACGTAATTTAGTACCTAAGTTTTAATCTCCAAAAACACGAGATCTTAATAATAATATGAATCTACCACTTGGCTACAAAATTACAGTTTTATTTTACGTTTTTATAGAATATTAACCTTTTTCTAATTAACCGTCCAAATATAATTATTGAGTCTTACTTCATTTGTACAGATGTGGTATGGTGGAAAATTATACTTTATACTTGAATAACTATATCTGGGTTTCGCCTAACCGTCGGTTATCTATATAGATCACGGTATATTATATCTGAAGTACACTTGAGTAATTTACTATGGAATGATATCTGTGGATTTTAACTCGTCGCCCGTGAGATTATAAAATGAAGGGGCTTGGTACCATGATGATACACAATAGGTACATAATAATATTAATAACGGTTACAGATACACTATAGACAATTCACAAATTATAAGATGGAAAACAGTTAGACATTTTAATCTACTCCCAACATATAGGACATATAGGTATAACACCTCACCGACTTATTTTTAAGTTTTGGTGAAAAACTGTTTATTACGAATTTTTTTCAAGGAATGATTTTTGGATTCGTTTAAATATAATCTGTGCTTCATGTACTTATTTGCATTTAAATTTCAATAATTTGATTTACTATTAGTACATTTCTATACATTTTAAACTGGATATTTTAAAAACTGCAGAAACATATTGGACTTGAATATTTGATTAAATAATATGAATTGATTAAATATAGGCGAATCAATAGTTAAATCGTTTTAAACCGATCGATATCAAAAAGGTTTATTACCATAGTATTGACGTAATTGAAAACTAACCTTTTTAAATTTAACAGAAACGATATGGGAATAAAAATGTTTTATTTTTATTTTTTTTTTGGCAATAAAACTAGGCATAATATAGGCCGCATAATATATATATCATAATAATATAGAACGAACAATGTGAAGCAAATAATACATAAAAGTTGCTGCTTCTGCCAACTCGTCATTATCAATATTTCGTTAAAAACGAGGTTTTGCTAGTACACAGCGCGCGGTAAACACTTGTGTTATTTTCCACCCACTACCGAAAAATCCATCCATCGGTAAAAGTGTGTACATATACACTTTTTATTGACTACTCAACGTTGTTCTCTTGTATACCGACCACTTATATGTTTATATTTATGTATATTGTGTATGTATATAGTGTGTGTTCTGCCCGGAAAAATAACTTATCGCGCGAATAAGAAAAGGTATTTCGCGTTATCGTGTACTGCGCGTGTGCGATGATGTACGCGGGATGTGTTGGTCGAAAAGGTGTGGTTGGTGGGTAGGTGTTTGAATGGCTGAGAGGAAGCCTGTACAACAATAACCACTTAACCAGACGGGTTTATGCCAATAGCTGGTTTTTGTTTATTGAAAAGCTTTCAAGGAAAAAGGGTCGGGAATAATACACATAAGCAATTTATACGTATTGCTAACGGCTCGTGTGGTTTTGGGGCTACACGCTAGAAAATAAAACCGTATGGAGAGAAAAATAGTAGAGATACTGAGCGATGAGAAAGAAAGGGAGTGATAGAGAGAGCACCGCGCGGTGACCGAAAATATTTATCGCTGAGCTCGTTTAATCACGATGCAGCCGCAGCTCGGGGTTATCCAAATAATTGGTTTTCGGTTATGAAAACAACAGATGCGTGGAGAATAATATGTGATGGGACGTGATGCGTCTCCAGGGACTCTCCGTGTACATTCGCGCCGTGGCGTTTGCCCTTTTCGGTCCGAGTGCTGTGTCGGTTCACGTATATACAATTCTGCAATATACCATATCGTATATAAATATAAATTGTGTGTGTGTGTGNCAGCAATTTTTTAGACCTTCTCCTAGGTTTTTATCCTAAACCCCCCCCCCTGGATATATTATACTTTAAATACTCATGTCAAAGTTCGAAATAAAATTGTTGTAGTAATTAGTAGTTACCTATACTATGGAACATTGTGCATATTATTTGTTTAACATATTAGAAGTTTTAGATTTTTGTTATAACTTTTATTCTTTATTTTCTTATTTCAGTATTTTCATTATTTTTTGTTGTGTGTGTATAATATCGTATTGAGAGAATTTAAAAGTCATTTTGTTTCCGGCTACAGTGAAACCTAATATACGTTCGTCGAACGCACTGCAGCTCTAGAGATCCAGTTGTACGTATAATCATCCTTAATGTACCGTATACGTGTCTATGCTGTAATAATTGTCGTCGTCGGGGTTCACAAATTTGATTATCACCTGGTCCGTGTTTTTAGCATACTAGTGTGCCGCAGTGGCGCCAAAATATATATTTACCTATGACATTTTTGTCAGGTGATTTTAGTAGATAAGAGCGTTACCTTTGTCATTCTAAATATATTATGATAATTGTATTAGATATTACAGTTATTGTGAACTAAAAGTCGATAATATTACGTCATATAAACTATACTTTGTGTATAGTAAGGCAATTATAAGAAATAGGTGCAGGGTATCAAAATTGTATGTAGAGGTGTTTAATGTCATAGGTAAAAATTTAGACTTTGACGCCACTGAGTTGCCGAGCCTTTTCTCCCATCGACGCTGTTCGAAACGCGCAGCAAGAATTTCTAATCCAAACGTGGCGCTTTATCGTGATCTATCTATCGTATACATTTGCCGTTGTTTACCAATAATACATACGACGAACCCTGAATTCGTGCCTCCTCCACGCACACGAGTGCCCCACACGAGTGTTAAAAGCGCTGACTATTTCCGGTCGATTCCCGAATATTGAATGTTTGAAGGAAAGCCGTATAGGGATGACGGTAAATTATGATAATGTCTTAGTTTCGACGTATAATTCAAAACTCGTGTCGGATGCGGGGAGTCGCTTGCATATTGTTTTATAAGTCTTATTTTGTAACTCAACTTCTTATAAATAACCGCTTGTAACTGTAACGAGAGTATAACGAAATTCGACAGCCCGACAGTTGTTCATCCATCCCGCACCCTTCGCCACTCTGACGTGTTTTGTCTTGAACCGTGTAACACTCGGAAAAAGACAATAATAATAACAACGATTAGGGTTTGGAACGACAGTTTGCAATAAATATAATGGCTGTGGTTGAAGGTCGTTGACGACGATCGTGTGTGTCTTCTTAGTAATAAACCGAAATAATATATTGTTGTATAAATACGAATGCAAGAATATAATAATAATATGTAATACATAATAATATATCTTACGGTTGTACATATATATACACTATATTATTACAGTAATGGGACAGCGCCGCGATCGTTCGCCCGTGTTTAATATAAATCATTTGGCGGCCATTATTCCTCGGTATCTTTTCGGATTCGCGAATCGCAAAATGCCATATATGTGCTTGTTTACACACACACACACATTTTACGTACGCATAATATACTATTATATGTATGCAATGTGTACAATGATAAATCATACGCGCTCGGACCCGAAGCGGTAAAATTGCCTAACCGTTTTTTCACGGTTTCTTGCCGCTTGTACCGACTGATTGTCGTTCATATTGTATAGCGTGCGAATGACTGCGACGATGATAGTATTATCGAGAGTTTGTTCGAAAATTGTTATGCCAGAAGTGTGGAGAGGGGAGGTAGGTAAAGCTGAACACTCTGCCGATTCGGTGATTTTTTTGCATTATTATACAGATTGTCGTTTTTTCGACGTACGTCAATCGACGACGTTATGATGTCGTTGGCGATTTACGCTATTTACTACGACGAATGCTATCAATTATTCGACCCGATATATTATTATTATTATGATTATATGAGAGGAACAAAGACGTAGCGATTTATTAATTTTTTTATGTTCCTTGTTTGTTGCAGAAAGAAAACTGTTCATTGGAATGCTGTCGAAAAAAATATCCGAACCCGACATCAGGTTGATGTTCGAACCTTTCGGTGCCATCGAAGAGTGTTCGGTGCTCCGGGACCCGAATGGCGTTAGCAAAGGTAAAACATTTCGTTTTATAAAAAAATACTGTATCCTACCTATATATAGGTACTTGCCATTTTGATAAAAAATATATATATCCGTAGGTAGCAATTGTGTAACGACGAAACGGTATGGCTGCCGTTCACTGTGCGACGCGTTAACATTATACTTTTTTTTTTTTATAAAAAACACGTGTTGGTAGCGTATAATATGTATTCGTTTGACACTTTTAACTTATTGTAATTGGTATAGTGTATACACAAATTATACTACATTGATAGTAGTTTACTCCCATCGATTGGTTTTTTTTTTATTGTTGCCATAATATACTAATCGCTGTTTTCCGATTTTATCGCATGGGATAATATTACTCTTTCTACGTGACAAGTATTTTTCCTTTTTTCGTGGATAACTATTTTATGTTGTGACCCATCGTGATGTAGTGAAATTTCCATATGAAATATAGTTGGGCGTTCGCATAATGCGAGTGATAACGATTCTTGTTTTTTTTTTTTTTTTTTTTTTTTTTCATCATAACATCGGACTATATCGTGTAATAACTAATGTATTAAGTGTATAACAAATTTGTTAACGATTAGTTCTATCACTGAATTGCCTCCCTCCGTATCCATGTTGTAAAATTATTTATTGTATGTTCAAATCTGCTTATTATTCCTTGTAGGCTGTAAATATTCTTAAAAAAAAAATTAATAATAATAATAATAATAAATTTGTCGTCGTCGTTAGGTTAGAGGCGGCGTTTATGCTCGTCGTAATAAAATGAATTAATATCATTTTAGATTGCGCTGAGGACAGATTTTTGGCTTCCGAGCCACTATATTTATAATATTTCCTTCAGCACACTTATCCTTCTAAGTGCTCCACACCGGAGTCGTCGACTTATACACTGTTATAAAAAAAATAAATATTATCATTTTATTCGATCATTCAAAAAGCTGTAACTGCTGTAACATTTCATGCATATTATATTATACCATTACTGATGATGTATACTGAAATTAAATTTATTTCGCAAACATAATATATCATATTATATAAAATGCTGCTTATATTTATGTTATGGTAAAATAAACGGTATTGTGCTTTACATTCCTAATATAATATTTTTAATCAATGGTGTAGCCAGGAACTTTTTATGGGGGGGGGTTCAGCAAATGAAAACTTACCATAGGTACTATAATTCGTGGTATCGGATATTTATTTTTATTGTTAAAATACAACATATATATCGTAAAAATTAAATTCATAAATTTATTAGTTTTAAACAAATAAAACTTATTAAACATTATTAATAAAATACATAATAATATATATAATGTCCGAAGTCAGAGTTAAAATAGTGATCACCTACAATACAATGTAATTACAATAATAAATCAATTTTTCTTTTTCTTTTTACCAATTCATCCAACACTACTTCTGGATTAACTTCAATTGTTCTGTGAATATTCAGTTAAACAATCAATTTAAACTGCCATGGTATTTCTGAGATAAATTTTCAATCGTCGAATTGTAGAAAATTACCTTTCTGTGCAGTAGCTGTTGTAATGGGTAGTTGCCACGATTTTTAACAGTTTGTAGACATTTGGATAGTCATTTTCATTACAATTATTAACTCTGATAAATTAGATGGAATTTTAGACAAATTTTGTAGAGAAGTCCGCCATAATTTAAGTTCTGCAATAACTACTAAAGGAGCAAAAGATGGTAATAATTGTGAATATTTTTTTACTAAATCTGTTATGTAATTTTCAAAAGTATCTAAATTATTTTCCTCTTAAATCGAAAACAAACAATTAAAGCTCTTCAACAATAAGATTCATGTTTTAATAAACGTTCACTTATCATTGTTATAAAATTATCTAAATATGGGATAAATATTTTCACTCTGTAATATTCCACAAGCGTGCTAATAGCAGGTGTTCTCGATTTTTACCAACATGACGAGGCGAAGAAGTATTGATATTGGAATTCTTACAAAATATTTCTGCTCTTTTAAATATTAATTTAAAATCTTTTCCCATATTTTTTCTCATTTCTTTTAAAACATTTATAGAATTATCAGTCATATTAATAACAAGAGATAAATAAAATCCAGGTGTTTTGTAAAAGTTTACTTAGTGGTAAACTAACAGCAAATACTGTTGATATTATGTGTATAGTAATCTAGAATTCAAATTTATTAATCATAAAATGCAATTGATTTGCTGATGAAGATGTATTTTTATCGGGCCAACTGCTTATTTTTTTTAGAGCATCAATCAAAATATCTTGTAACTCTAGGTAAATTATTACCGAGCCATGGCGCTGCACCCAACTAGGAAATAAACTAGGAATATAAATATTAGATATTAAAATATTTTCTGTCCAATCACTTAAGTATATTAAAAATTAAATTTTAAAAATATCTTAACATAATTTAATGTTTAGACGTTTTTAAACGATGTCAAATTAAAATAAAATAAATAAAGTGGAATATTAATGTCAAATATATAAACGAATAGACGATATTAAATTAAGTAAAACAGTGAGACACCAATGGGCAAGGGCAACGACCAAATATTAACTAATAACTATTAGTTTTACACAATAATGTTCTTGTGTTAAATGATCGGTGAGCCGCAAATGCATTAGGTATACCTAAAATAAACTTTGAATTCAGACAATGATATTGCTTTTATCGCTGTTATCAACTGCAGTAGAAAACCCAGATAAAATGTTCCCAAGCAAAAATGATCAAAGTAGTAAATATAGTTCATAATATTATGACTTGTGTGTGTGTGTGTGCAGCGTGTGAATAATATGTTTATAGTGTTTATACAAACTATTATAATATAATTTCCAAGTCAAAATTCTAAACTATAAAAATATTAAAGAAATAACCGTGTTTCATGTAAAAGTTAATTTACAATCTTAGGTTCAGGGGGGGGGGGTACTGTCCCACCACCCCCATGGATACGCCACTGTTTTCAATACATTCGGTATCAATTATTTTAAATTTAATGGTTTAGGTACATTAGAATTCGGTGTTACCTTTCAATTTTCATTTAAGGTTTAGAATACTAGAGTGAGAATTCTATTAGATTTACAATGATAGGGAGTTCTTTTGTTTTTGTTTTCACGATATTATCACTTTCAAATAAAATTGATGTGCCAAAAGTTTCATATACCCATTGAGATTGGGGAATTGGACATATCCTACCACTAGACACTAGCATTAGATTATTTCGGAAATTTTCCAGTAGTTTTTTTGTTTTTATAGAAAATCGCACCAAACTATTGAAATTCGAGCCTCACTGTAGATAACCCAACGGGAGATTCCCGTTAGTATAGTCCGCGCCACGAGAGAACGCATACGGCTCGCGCATTCAAATGATTGCGTTCGAACGTCTCGAGGCCAAATCTCCCCACCATGCGACAACTGGTCTCTGCATACAGCGGCTCAAGTAATACAATAGCAACACGCACCGTGTCGTAWTAATTGTGCGTAATAATTTACGCATAAATTATTTTTTTTTAGTTTTTACCTGTAGTAAATCAAGACCTATTTTATGGAATATTCGGTAAACGACTAACGACTTGATGAAAAAATGTTTTTGTTATTGTAATCGCAGTGTATACACCTGCCGACAAAATCGATGTGCTCCGAAGCGCTCCGACGGGTGGCGATCGTGCTGGTAAAGTGGTGGGAATGCGCGAAAAAAAACGTGTTTTGGTCGGCCGCCGTATGCGTTCTCTCGTGGCGCGGACTATAGATTCCCACTTAAGGAGTAAACTTTTTGCATTATTTACAACTTTTTTTAACATCCTAGACAGCTACAATTTTCACCGATTTTTATTTTAGTATCTTAAAGATATATAGCATTTTTAAACACGATTTCAAAATCTTTACAATTTATTTGATGATTAATCTTCAGGTTATTCTAAATATAAATAAATAAATTATTTTTATAATTATTATTTTAATAATTTATTAATTTATTAATCTATAATTGTTTTTTTTTTTTACTTCTTTGTATATGAGCAGTAGTACATTTTAGTAAATTGTATTAAAGAGAGATAACTGCTGGGAAGATTTAAACTAATACCATAAGAAATTTAATAAGACGGCTACGAATTAAATACTGAATTATCAAATTTCATATTTCATAACTACTTAAATTTTCAATAATTAACTACTTTGTTAATCATTAAGTATTGACAGTATAGTTTTGCATAGTATTATCATATTGTATGTATAGGAATGCTTTTTGAAAATTAATATTTTTCCATACCTACTATTTCAACTTTTAGTTTTTTGTTAACTTACAAACCCTGAATATTGCGCCAGTTTAAAATGAGCTATTCGATATTCAGTTCAGGGTTTTTTCGGATGAAACTTTAAAAATTGTTGGATTTTTCAAATGTTTCTATGTGGGTATATAGTTTGAAAGTTGCGTGTATACGTTAATACAGCAAAGTATATAAAATCTTGCTAGAAATAATATCTTGCATAAAAAATTTGAAAAATGTTCTCGATTTTTTGTTATGTATATATTCTAACACTGTGGATTAAAATTGGTTACTAACACCGTAAATTAAAATACGTTATGTTGAAAATAAAATGTAGGCAATTGGTAAAATAATGAACTCTATATATTTTACGCTAATTTTTATTAGAAAAACAACAGTGCAGCAAAAAAAAAAAAACATTGATTAAATTATAATTGATTTTTTAATTCAATATTTTTAAAGTTATGTGTTGTCTACAAAAATAAAAATATGACACAATATATAACGCGGAGTTGTTATATTACATCGATAATCTTTTACCGTTCAGGACTATCACGTTGGTTTGAATCGAATAGGTCGTGCATGTTTTTTTGTAGGCGTGTGCCGAAGGCAGGATGTTAAAACATAGGAAAAACATAGGATGTTAAAAAAAGTTGTAAATAATGTATATTGAACGAGCTCTCGTTTAGCTTTCTATGCTTTCATTATATAAACTCGGCCATCAGCGGCGATGATATTACCTTTCGCGGTACCTTTCGGTGAACGATTCTTTACAATATTAATAATTTAAATTGAACGACGTGGTTAATATTTTGGTATTGCAGGTTGTGCATTCGTTACGTACACGACCAAACAGAACGCCATCGCAGCCATCAAGGGTATGCATCACTCGCAAACCATGGAGGGCTGCACGTGTCCGCTTGTGGTCAAGTTCGCCGACACCCAAAAAGAAAAAGACCAGAAACGCATGCAGCAGATGCAAGCCAACCTTTGGGGACTAGCCGCGACTGGAGGAAACAGCGTGCCCACCGCCCAGTATTTGGCCCTCGGCGTGCTAGCCAATCAGCAGATGAACGTAAGTATAATAAAATTTGATACGATTATTCACGACCGTTTTTCGCCGAAACACGCAAAGTATTATTACCCTCTCGTACTCACTGCTGCAGCCTGCAAGTCGATGGAAAGGGTCGACGAGTCGACGAGCATTTCTGCAGTAGGTGTCTATCGTCTTCGCGCGATGTTGGTACATCGTGTTTTCGGAAAATGTTATTTTCTACGCTTGAATCACTTTTAAATAAGCCGCGACACCGTATTCAAGATGCTGCACCCCCTGTACGGCTGTACAACCACACAGCTATATATTTTATTATAATACCTTATATTATATTTATATAATTGTTATTGTGCTCTCGCGTAGTGTTCAAACTCTGAGTATACCAACCAAACCATGAGATTCCTTTGTTGTAGTTACATCTCAAATGCGTGACGTAATCTCTCACTGTCACTAATAATATAAGCACACACCACGGATAGTTTAAAAAGTTATTTGCGGCACCCGCGCGTCAGTGTTCACTGTCAACAGTTAGGTTTTCAAGCGAACACCCGATTTACTCTCCGTGCGTTACTTAAAAGGGATAATGACATATTCACGTGACACTTATTATATTATTATTGATGTTATTGTAGGTATAATATAATAGAAGTATGCTAAAACAGTTTGGGAATAATGACGATAGCACCTCGTTCCTATAATAATAATAATGATCATTATTATTAGTAGTAGTTATGTTTATTGTATTTAAACGCTATAAATATCTTTATCGTGCAGAAATCTCGTTACCTACGTCGTGTATATATACATACATAATACACGGTGCATTTTGCCTGCGTTGATTGCAAAATCCGCTCACAGCACGGCGTTCGACTAAATCCTCCTCCTCTTACCTAATCGTTTTCTAATTAAACTTATAAACTGTTCTGTAGCGCGCCATGTTTATGCGCGTTTTATGAAGTTAGTATTGAAACTAACCCCTTGCATAATGCTCCCGTGGGTGTAAATGGCAATGTAATAAACTTAGTGATTCAGAGCGACTCCGTGAAAACTTTGACCGTAAAAGTATTTTCCCTGTTCGGGTAATTTGCCAAAATCATTTTGGCCATTTTATAAACACTCCGGATCGTCGTCATGTCTTCTCTCCCAACGGATGATAACGAGTTTTTCGTTACACGTCTCAGTTAAAATCATCAGCGAATGTAGATTATTTACTTCGTAAACGGTGACGGTGAAATCAGAACTTCCTAACTTCTTAACGCATTTTCGTTGACTCTTCGTTTTGCGTGAGAAATGGGCATGTGCGAGAAAACTCCACCCCGTGATATTTGAATATTATTATATTTGATTTATTCATGACACACATTTATGCATTTTCTATTGTAATTGTTATGTTGTACCAATAATATACGTATGTAATATATTTTATATAATATATATACCTTAGTATGTATGACTTACTATTCCAAAATTGGTTTTAGTTCGTTTCGAACAGCTACTTTAATTTGAAATGAAAAAAACGATTTGGTATGTTGTAGTAGAATTATACGTATGGTACTCGGAAGGAGGTGGAAGGCGGTGACTCATAGAATTCGCAAAGGAGCGAAGCCTGTAGGCGACAAAGGTTAGGTCGTGGAAAGCGTTTTTACGACGTTAATCGTTTAACATATTTTCTGTATCCGGGTAAAACGATTGAATTGATGTATATACATATGTATATTATAATACGATACGAATATATTGCGTTTACTTTCAAAACTCGAATTTTATTGATTTTTACCGCACGCGTTTGCCGCTAAATTACATTTCAACGCGTCTCGCCCTTTCCGCATTTGAAACGAATCGATCTTACCAGAAGAAGACCAACAATTGTGTAGATCTCAGCTAAAATAGGCTCTTTACTTTGCGGTAACAGTCATATATGAAATAACGTTCTGTCATTAATCTAAATATTGTAGTATATTGTGTGGCCTATTAATATCTTCGTCTTCCGACGTATACCAATCAGGCGTAAGCACAATTTTATTAATTGTCTTTACTCGGTGGTGTCAAGAAATTTAAATTATACGCATATATGAAGGACACCTTTTTTTCAACCTTCTATTTTCGTCATACTTGACGTTATACATTTTACGATATTGTTTAAATTGTAAAAAAAAAAAATAACAAATTTACCAACAGCATATTCAACCAACATATTATATTCCCTCTTGGTGTGATATTTTACACTCGTAACGTCGCTGTTTATACGTTTCGATGTGTAGAGTTGATCGTATTGTGTTGTGGAAACTGCAAAATATTACTCGTCGTTTGTACGCATTTTTTGATTTTTTAACCGACATTTTTCCCATTCGATAACTTGTAAACCAATACAATTAATACAAAATAGACATCATAATATTATAATAWTAATATAACGTGAGCGGTGAAGGATTTTTTTCGTGCGATTTTTAGGCAAACGCTTTCGGGCAGACGTCCCCTCTATAATATGTTCATTCCCCTCCAACCTCAATTCTGAACTAACACGCTGTGCTGCAGCTAGTCTATAGTGGAAGGGTTCCGGCCGACGGTGATGTCGTGCAATCCGTACAATTGTACAACACTGTTCTCGATGCGTAATAATAACGATTCCGTTTTTTATGGTTCGCAGAATGACACGAACTCGCTGTCGTCGCAAGTGCTCCAGCAGATCCAGCTTAACGCCGCCGCCGCTGCCGTGGCGGCCAACAACAACAACAACCAMCAGCTGAACAATCTGCTTTTGACCAACAACACAGGTTCGTTTTCCTTGTGTATACCGAATTGTGTTCGTGTGCCTGTTAACGCCAAGGTACAGCCGAATTACCGGTGTATTGTGACGTTTAACTGCATATTTTGTCAATATAACTGATCATAATATAATGATATTACAATATATTATGTACGCGTGAGTATGACCCATTCTTCTGAAAACTCACGGCCACAATATTATTATTAGCATAGGTAGGTAGAGAGAATAAATCGAGACCAGGTTATAGTATAGTATTATGTTTAGTATTTTAGATTTTTACGAGTATTTTTACAGTTTTATTTAAATTTTTCTAAAATGTCATAAATATATTCCGTTCTGTTATTATTCGTTTCCGGACTACTTGCCTACCAACTTATTGTTGTTTCTTATCATTCGGGACTCGGGACGCATAATGAACTACGATTGAACAAGTTTGTATACGTATGTAAACACGAATGTGATTCATCGTGTTCACGCATACAAATGTATAACATAATAAGTTGGACTGCTGTATACACCTTAGATCTCTCATTGAAGTTCAATATACCCAAAATAGATGATCGTTCAAATTATGTTATACAGCGTATAAAGGTCATCAAAATGTATTGCTGTAATTTGTTACTGACGGCCAATGTCGTCAACTTAAACGCGGGAATCACTCTGTAGCCATCAGAGTGTAATAAACTAATAAATAATGTATCGAATGCTATATTATTTATATCATTCTCTCGAGTATTCCTAATATATGGTTGATCGCATTTAACGTAAAACACTTATTAGTTCAGAAACCATTAAAGATTTTGAAATTTGATTTCAAGACTTAAAAACAACAATTTTTTATTAGAAACACTTATAATTTTTACTTCTTTACATTTTAATTTCTCTTTACCAAGCTGGATATTTTTTGGAGTACTTCGATGTACATAAAAATCGAATTTAGGACGAACAGTTTATGCGAGTTATAATTTGTTGCAAACATAAGTGTAGCCGTAGTGGACATAATATCTAAACTTTAATTATTTATACGCTATAGCCTCTAAGTCATAACTCATAAACTACTTATATAAGCTCTAACTTACAAACTAATTATTCGAAATTTGATTCTTATAGATCGAAGTAATATTTTTAATAATATTCTGCTTTGGAATAGAAAATTAAAAATGTATGTTGTATTTTTTTTAAATGTTTTAATAACTTAAATTTATAAAATAGAAACTTTTACAAAAAAATTAGTTAGTTTTAAACGTTAAATGAATCACTCTGTATTTATAGTTTTGAAATTTCTTTTTTATTTTAACCGACGATGATACTGCTGCAAATATATCCGTTTACATGGGTGGGTTTTATGAGGTCGTCAGCGAATGTTGATATTTTAAAATAATATGATAAACAATTCCAAGTATTTAAACGTTATATTATTCAAAGCGCTAGTCATACACGGACTTATAGCAATATTAAAGTCGGAATAAACGTTTGTCTCATCCTTAAAACATAAATAAACGTCTTTTTTATGTACCATCATTCACTATCTATTACTATAAGTCTATAATATACAATTATTATCTATTCATTAGTTACCTACTTCTATAATATATATATTAATCTATTTATTGTTGCTCAATAAACTGTCGGTGGCGGTGTTACTATTCATATGTACCTATTAAATACCAGTTAACTACTGCGTTATACAATGGGCGTTGTTGTTATTATTTTTTTTTTGTAAAATATCATTAATTTCATGTGACCCCCAATATTCAGGTGCGCTCAAATCCCCGTATCATGTCCAGACGTCCCATTACCATCCCACACATGTAGATACCGTGTCACCAAGGCGTTTAGATTACACCGATCCTTTCTATACAGGCTATCAGAATTTGTCAGCGTCGCCGCCAAGTCTAGGAGACCTGAACCCGGGAAACTTGCAGAACTTGTCGACGCTCGCCAATTTGTCCGTTGGAAACCCTAGTGAGTAAAACGAGTTACATTATTGTTATCGTGCAGGTAATATTTTTATATTGTTATGTCGTGTGAAACGTTTGTGTATCTGTCGTTATTATAACATAACAATATATTTTGTACATCATATTATCGTTCGTGTCATCATATATAATATATTATAACAATCATTATAGCTTGTAAAATAACGATAAAACAGTTATAATAATTGTAGTTAAAATAGAATTATTACTTTTTTAGGATTAAATTTGGCATTATACATCGTGCCGTTTTCAGCGTTTGAAATAGAAATGAGAATTTATTTATGCGAATGATTTTATTACTTCTTTATTTCTTGTTAATTAGTAATTATCATTACAATTTCTATTTAAACGCTAAATTAATTATTGTTTAAGTATCATAGTTAGTGTATATTTATGTTTTACTTATTTTGGGTTAAATTTTACTTAATTAATAGGCCCAGTGCTTTTCTTACCACGAACTAGCTAATAACAGACCATTTACTATCGTTGGGGCTTATTGTGGGTAGAAAAAATTCGTATCTATTTCTATTCGTATTAAATTATTTACAGTTGAAATCATTTTGGCTTTAGTATGCTTATGGTGTAAGTTATGATTAAAGTTGAAAGTTTTATCACATTGATAATAATAATGGCGTTGTAACTGGTGACGAATTGTGAATTTAAATAAAATAAATTGTATAGTTATAATATGAGCACAATAAAAATGGAATACCGAGACGGACGATGTACTTAGTGCACCTATATGGGTAGGCAAGTTTATCGAGCGTGTTTAATATACAGAAAGTAAAGTAAATTATTTACAATTAGAGAAATGATTTTTATTTTATTTGTGTGTTCAAACGAGAATTTTAAATTTATTTTAATTTCAGATGACATGGCGTTAGAACTTTCTGTATCTATCTACTTTTTTTTAAACACGTATTTTATTTCGCTCGTTTACCCGCAAGGCAACAAACTGTTAGGGTTTTATTTTCCTTTCTTTTCGCTCACAGTAACCTTTTTTTTTTTTTTTTTAAAAAAGCTGACTTTAAAACATTTCACATTTTTCGTTAGACCGATCATCGTGGTTCTTATTTAATGCTCGTCGCTATCGTGATGCATTTCTAATAATAATGTACGCCCAAATTCCAAAAGCGGCAACCACGTGATTACCGCACGCCTATTATAATATGTCCTGACTGTATTTAAACCATTGCCTTTAGTATTTCTGATCAAGAGCCAAGAATAAAAAGTTGGAAAACAGTAGTTTTTTCACGCCCCAACTTTTCAAGCTGTGCTTTTGATGCAGTCAATCCCAAACAAAGATTCGAAATATTAGGAAAAAACACATTAATTTAACAATAATTCAAATAGTAAATTTAAATTCACTATTCGAGTAGTTCGTTATATATGGTCAGTATACCATTATTGGCAGTGCTTTATGATTATGATAATAATATTAGAAGTATGTACATACGTGAATAAAAATTTTTTCCAAACATTCATTATAGCCTATTTTTAAATCTTATTTTGAGAAAAATTGATATGCTAAATAATATATTTAAGTCAAATAGCTGATTTTTTACGATTTTTTAAACATCAATATTCTCGTTAAATAAATTACGATCTATAGTTTTTATTAGAAACATTATAATCTAAAAAAAATATTTTACGTGAACATTTATGAATACCTTATGCACCTAGGTAAATTTATATTTTTTGATCGATAGATATTATTGCTTTTGCTATTCGTTTCATGTCAATTTATAGTAGCGGATGGTAAACCAATATAATATGATACTTAATCACTCGGACATTTTCCTTACTTTTAATTAGGAACACTGTACTGAATACAAGGGTTATGTGTAGAGTCTATACGAWGTATCCCGCCAATAGAGTCTGCCATTTTGAGTCCGTTAATGTTTTTTCCGTTGGTTTTCAATTTTTCATGGACAGAACTATTTTATTAACTTTAATTCCACCAAAAATCGGTACAATGCCGGTAGTATTCACGAACCCACGGTTAATATCTTATAAGAAAGTGGTATCTTCACTTTTTTATGATAAACAAACATTGTTGCATATCTTTCGGATAAATTGTATTGTTTAATATTCTATACGAAAAGACTGAAAATGGCAGTCTACTATAATAATGTAAGACATGTTTTCTGACCCACTGCTGTGTTCTGTACAGGCATTCAGTTAAGTTAGTAGAAAAGGGTATTACATTTTTATTTTACAAAATCTATAGTTAATTAAAATAAATAGAATAATCGATTTGACCCAATTTTTCAATACCATAATATACATAAATAATAAGTATAGTGTATACGCTGGTAACTACAAAATGTTAAATCTTATTTTTGAATTTTTTTTTTTTAAAATTGTTTTGAAAATTATTATTGTAACTATCTGATATTTCGATGACTACACAAAAATACCAAAAATATGCAAAAACAAAACACTTTTATTTGAACTAATGTCTAAAATATACTAAATAAACGTCTGTATTAATTATGGTAATTATTAATCAATTACATTTTTATCTCGCAATAATATTTTGAATTCTGAATGACATTCATCGATATGCAAAATAATTAAATTAACAGTTTCGCGGTGTACTCCATAATAATTGTCGCTGCCGCGGCCGTATATGCGGCAATAAACCGGAGACGCACTCCAGTAAAATTATAATACAAATGATAATAATAATAAGAGGAATAATAATAATCGAACAGGAAGTAGTTTTCCTTGTATAGCGCGTGTTGATTGGTAGTCTCTTTGTGTCGTCACCGTCAACTGAATTATATTTATTATTTTAATGACATAATGGCGCCCTATTTTGCCCTTTGGCTTCCGTGAATTATAATTATTATTCATGATCGGCCAGCAGCAGGTAACGGACACGCTGATACTTGGCGAGTGTTTTTTCATAAAATTACGTTCCCGTGTTCTAATGTAATGTCATGTTTTGGTGTCTGTTATTGTTTTAGCATAATAATTTTTTTTTTCAGTAGTCAACTCTGTGAATATGCAAAATCTAGTCACATTGGCCGCGATGGGAGCAAATTCCGTCTCGCCTACAGGTAAACTACCATAAATCAATTGTCATACTTAATTATATTGATCTTATTAACTTATTGTAAGCTTTCTCGATTACACGGCCATTGTACAATTATTATGTTTGATTTAGCAGTTATGGTGAAACCGACATAATCTGATTAATCGTATATTGGTCAGATGTTGAGTTAACGAATTTTATACGTTTGATATAGGATGAAACTTGTACAATATTATTCATAATTCTGATTTTGAATTAGGTAATTGGGCAATGGAATATTTCAAATAAATTCCGCAAGTTAATATTCATAATTTAAAAATTAAATCGTCTGAAACTTTTTAAAATGTTTATTATTTGTTTTCTAGATATTTAATAAAACGGTTGAACATACATTGTTCTGAAGCATGTATTTATAAATAATTAAATTGAATTATACTAATCAATATATATATTTAAATGTCAATTCGAAATTATGTCGTAATAAAACTATGAAAAGATAACAGAATAATACATTTTTCTGTACAAAACAATTGTATAATTTTACTATATAATTTTAGGTACGACATTGACTTAAACAATTGGTAAAGTTAAATGTAATTAGCAAAAAATAAATGAAATTATTAAGACCTGCCAACTCAACTAAATGTTGTTGGAAGTATAAACAACTTGTATAGGTAGTTAAATTTTTAACGAGCTCAGTCATTGCGTAAAATAATATTAAATACATTACATTGAACGAAAATTAGTTTCAATATATTTATATATGTGTTGTATGTCAGTCGATCCAAATCATACTTCATGTTTTAATTAATTAGAAATACAATTTCGCATGGGAGCTTTTCCTCAAAAGTTTTGAATGTCGTCTGCAAGTTTATGGAAGTACAAAGTTAGGAGAGGAAAACGGAATAATAACTGTTATACAATATGCGTACAATGTTCAAAAATGTTTTTCAATGCTGTGCCGTCACCTTTTTCATTTTATTATAGTGTTTTTTGTGGAACTTACAACCACTGTTTCAGTTTTTAAACACAAACATTTTTGTACATATGCCTTTTGCAATATACTTTTAGCCTTCTGCTCGAGTAGTACTTTACAGTGACGAATATTTGTGAAAAAAAAATTTATATATATATATTTTTATTTTATTTTAACAATATGCTATTTTACTCAATTTATTAGCATGTTATTAAAGTCATAAAAGTCACTTCAATCGGTCGAGAAAGCTGTTATTATTAACGAATTATATTATATGATTGTGTAACGTATCCATGAAAATTATTTTTAAACAGTAAATCTCAAGGAACATTAATTAAATAAATCATGTTTATTATTTTAGGATCCAGTTCATCTAGTCTTAGTAGTTCAGGTTGGTTTATTTTACAGGATTTTATGTCGATTCATATACTTTTTTTTCGAAATTATCTTTGGTCACTTTGTTTTATGTGTCTGTATTTGTTTTGTATTCTGATTATTTCTAAGTTAATTATGCTTAATGTAATGCATTTGCATGATTTTTATTTTTAACAATATATTGTTTATATATAAATTATAACAATAATTAATACTTTTTGCCTTGAATATTCGATCGTTATTATTTTAGATTCTGAGCGGAGCGAGGAATGTATTGGTTTTACAATGATGTTTATTTCTTTTTCTTTTTATTCTGTAAACACTTTTTCTCCATCTAAACTTGCTCAAAAGTATCAAGTATAGCATCTTTTCTGGAAGGTAATGTTCTTAAATTGGTACTTTAGAGAGGTTATTTTTTTTAAAAAAGCTTTTAAAGTTCAAATTTTGACTAAATACGTAAAAATTACCGCAATGTTCAAATTATCTTAAATATAAATTCATAAAAGTTTTTATTTTTAAATCTAAGATTTGAAAATTTAATACATGGTTCCTAACATATTTTTACAATAGCAGTTGAAAAATAAAAGAAATACATAGCCACAATTTTTTATTTACAAGCACTCAAAGTTTGAATTTTGACAACATATGTAAAAATCACCAAAATTTCCAAATTATTTTAAACTAAAAATTCATTAAAAATATGTCTTTTTAAATCTAAGATATTAAAATGTTTAATAATTTATAATACGAGTAATATCCTAGACAGATAAACTGTCTCCGCTCAGAATCTTTTTTCCTATACAATAATGATATAATATCATTGGATTCGAATTTAATTCCATCCATTACTGTAACCCACTTGTAACCTACTATACAGCAGAGCGACATCCACGACTTACCCGCTTTTTTAGATTTTATCATATAAACCACGAAAATCCATTCGTTATCTTTTGGTTAGAACAATGAACTCAATACAATTATTTAATCAATCAATAAAAATTAATATGCATATTAATTATAATATATCTTAATAAAACTGTGTAAATATAATAGTTTTGGTAAAATATCTGAAATTTTAATTTTTAAATAATCTGTCTACAGTAGACTTTATACACTTAAAATCATATATCATTTAAAAGTGTATTAAATTAACATTTATTATACTTTTTGTGGTAGATTATTCATAGCTATTCAACTCGTGTATTAATGATCAATCACGAGATTAATAAATTTATCGGTTTTAGACTTTATTCCAAATTTTTAAACATTACTATAAAATAAAATATGGGTATGTTTTAATAAAATTTCAGTAAATTTGATTTTTTTTTTTAAATCACTTTGTATTAGACGTGATAATTTGACCTAATTTTGATAAGGTTGTTTTAAATTTGTAGAAATTAGTTAACTTAGCTTAACGCAGATATTTTTTTCTCAATTTAAAGTTTAGATATTGTTATTATAACAAATGTTTTTTTTTGAAATTAACCAAAACTTTTTTAATGGCTTAAATAATTATCCCAGAGTCTATCCCTATAAATATTTGAAGTACCCAGAAAGATAAATGCATAATTATGTGTATAAATACATATATTATAGTAATTAATTGTTAAATTATGAAATAACTATATTAATATTTATAAATACCCACTTAGGTCTAATAATATGTTTGTAAATTTAATTTGGCTCTCGACTCGTAAATAAATAAATAACTTATTTTACATTCTTCTTAATGACCAAAATATATTTATTTTCTTTTATGCATTAATACATTTAAATGCATTCATTTCTCCGTCAAACTCGTCTAACAATATGTAATACATTTGATTTTAACTTAATTAGGTAAGAAAATGCATGTTTTTTTAACGATAATATAATGGATGTAGAAAATAATTTTACATTTTACGTAATATAATTTTATTATTGAGAATTTATACGTCTGTTGAATATGCATTTTGTGAAGCACTTTATTTTTTAAATCCAGGAAATGTCATGTGTAAAAGTATGAAATGCTAATTTTTAGTTTCATAAATATTTTTCCTATGGATCCAAATAATATTACCTACATTAATATAATGTTATGGTGTTTTAATATTAGCGGTTTGTTATATCAATAGTTTATACGTGAAATCCATTTACTACTTGGTTTCTTTTTTGTTTTTGGGAAATTTAATTGGGATAAATATATGAATATACTTACGTGCTTATTATTACATAATCCAAAAAGTGTATACTTTATTTAAGATTTAATGTTATTGTTATATGTTTGGAAATTTAGCACGTTACCTATATGCGTATATAGTTTTGCATATTAACGCTTTGTTACATATTTTAATACCGTAGAAGTTATAGATACGTTTTTAAGACAACGAATTTTTTTGTTTCAGCTCTGTCAAGTTTGTCGCCTACGTCTGCAGCCGCTGCAGGTTAGTAAAATTTAATATTTCTGTATGTATTTGTCTTCCATGTTCGGTTATATTATTATTTTAAGTCTTAATACTCTGTTTCCTTATGTTTTTATTGTTTCGTTGTATGTTTGTTTTTTCTCATTTGACTCCGTAATTTTATTTTCTAGTTTTATTTGGGAAAAATTCCGGTAAGTGGTCTTGGAATATGTGTTYGTTCGTGTGATTTGTATTTATAAAAAAAATTGTTATTGTTTTCTTTATGTTTTGTTTCCTTTTCACTTGCGAATAAAAAACCACACATAATATATTATATTATATTTATCTATGTGCGATAATATAGTACTGTAACGTCTGTAACTTTCAACTGAGATACTAATAAATAATAATATTATAGTATGTGCAATGTGTCTTGTGTATGTATGGCTATAAAATAATAAGTGTTTCGTTTGATTGCTGTTGAGTCCGCGAGTGCATCTCCCTGCACACTGCGGTATACAACTTAAATTTCGTGACGAACAACACATCCGATTTTTATTTTTTTGTCAGAGTGAATTCTTATTAACATACAGCGAAATACAAATTACAAGTGTTATCGTTCTAAATTTGTGCGTGTTTCGGTATTGTTTTATATTTTTTGTAGGTCTTTTGGCAGGGACCAACGGCACTAACGGTGGTACATATGGTTCGTCGCTGAACGCACTCGGTCTCACGCTGGCCGACCTAAACTCTAACCAGTTTGCCATGCCGCAATCGCCACCGGCCAGTTCACCACTGTACTTTTTGAACAACAACAATAACAACAACAACAGTCGTKAGTACAAAAATTAACAGAACAACATTTTTAAGGAAACTAAAACAAAATTTACCGCGCTCCCGCCGCCGCACCATCGCGCGTCGTTTAAAAACAACCCCTTCCCGTCGGGTGATAATCCGAAGAACTTTAGGGAAGTAATAATATATAAACTCGCCACCGTGTTTCGTCCTAGGGAGAAATCAAATAATACAACAATAGGGTATTGCGYCGTGAAAGCATTTTTATTTTTTTTTTGTAAACGTGACAACTAGAAGTAATGCGTTTATATTTCATGAGCCGCTTTCAAAACCGTCAAATTTCATGATCCATGGTTTCTTTTATTCTTCTCAAAAAGCGAACAATTATTTTATCATCTGATGTTTTGAACGAGTTATTATAAACTTTTCTTTTTTATTATTAATAAATTATTGCCTTTCTTGAGTATCGTGGCGGTGCTACTCTGCATTGTTCGTATATAGTATAGACAACAGAACAATGCGATATCGATGAAGTGGTGCATTCAACGCGGGTGAATCAGTTCCCAATGCCCAATAATTCAAAAATAGACATTAATTCGTTTGAGGTACCTATACATTCTATCGTTATAGAAACTCTCCCAATTTACCTTGATGAAACTTTAAATATAGTATCTGCTTAAATGTTTACGAGACATAATAATATACATTTTGTTTACAAGCTGGTATATCTTATACTATGTACATTAGGGTTGTGGCTTTCTTATTTCTGAAACGTAATTTGAGAGATATCAATTAAGAATCCAATGAAATTAAATTTCTCGTATAATATCGTTTTTTCATATGATTCCATGACAAATGACATTATAACAGTTAGTATTTTTCTTTACACCTATACGCTAAGACGTCTTCCAAATAGTTTTATTGATCGTATAAACTGAATTACAAAATATTATAGTTACGTGATTACGACACAATCATGGAAAAAATTCAACTGTTCAAAAATTGATATTCATGTACGCATTTATGTTTCCCGGCTATACGTAAAATGCGTTATCTACGCTTGGCTTGTTGCTGTGCTTCGTGGTAGTCATTATTTTTTATCATCCCCCTGAAGTCAAACTCTTTGGATACGCGTTTGTGATACCAAATTATCGATATTTCGAATAAAGATTATAAATATTACCTATATTATATATTATATTTTATGGATTCATATAATAAACATAAATGTTAAATAATTTAAAAGATTGTGCTGTAAAAAGTCTAAAATAAAACTTTTATTAACATTTGAGAATTATACATTGTTTTTAATGCTCTTAGAAACATAAAATTTATTTAGTGTTCTATAGAACGTTTTGAATTATGACACTATATATTGCAGGATTTAACTATGGAAAAATAAACTATAAATTATTCGGTTCACAGTTAAAGTACTTACCCTGATTAATACAACCCTAAGTATTTTCAAAAACTAAATTTTCCAAGTATAACGTATTAATCTTCAACAGATGGCATCTCAATCAAACATAATTATTTCTTGAATTCGTTTTTGATTTGATGTTACAGCAGTTGCATGTGAAAAAAAAATTAAAAATACATTTATTTATTTATTTAAAACGTGTTCGAATCATATTTTTGTTTCTCCTAAAGTACGTTAAAATAACTTGGTTATGCTCACAAAATATTAAATTAATGTCAAGCAATTATTTCAATTACATTAAATACGATATAGAATTCGAGTGATTAATGTATCATAATAATATTATGTTCGTGTTCACTGGTTTGAAAAATGTCATTGCGCGTGATCAAAATATTTAAAATAAATATTGTTTTTATTTACGATTTCATTTTGTATAGTAAAAATTACAAAGTTAATTTTAGTTGACCATAATATATTGAGATAAAAAATGTAGGACTAACCACTAAAATTCTGTAAAACTTTAATTTAATGATCTTTTTAAACGCGCCCTATTAGTTTAACAAATAATTACATTTATTTAATAAAAATATCAATAAATATATTCACTGTTGTCTAATGTATTCTTCCAATTCGAAAACTTAAGTAAAAAATATACTTATATGAAAATAAAAAAATGTCTACAAATAATTCTACAAATGACTTAATTAAAATTATACATACAATAGTGTAGTAATATAATTACATACACTAAAATAACTTTTATTTTTCTCACATATTTTAATAATAGTAAAAGTTGTTAGTAATTCAGATTTTAATTATATGGTAAAAATGCAGGTATATATTGATATTTTATATAAAAAAAAAATAAATAAATAATGTTCAATCGTGTTAATCTTTTAACTAGGTAGACTGCTAAATAAAAACCTTCAATGCATATCAGTTATGTTTTGTCTATGCCCAACTTTCTAAGTAGTATTCGTAATAAGCATATCTTTTGTTTCTGGGGTTGTCATCAGTCTTACGTGGTTTCGTTTAGATTTCTGACAATGATTGAATTTTAAAACAAAATATTTAGATTTTCCTAGACATTTTTTTTCTGTTTCTCTTAGCATGGGTTTGTTGCGCGATAATTACACTTAAGAGACTGGTAATGATCGTTATGATGTTAATGAAAAATTTAAATTAAAGTACTTACTTGCAACTGAAAAGACTTATGCTCTCTAGGTGTGTCACGTTTACAAAACAAAACTTAATATCGTATAGCGGGTTGTTAATAATAATTTTCACTCATAAAGTAAATTAATTGAATTTATTCCGTTAAACCATTGTGTTAGAATATCATTTTAGAAGATTTAAAGCACCGACATATAAATGTACTCTTATACCTTAAATTCGTAAGTTTTTTAAAACTAGTTTTTGGATTCATTTTGTACATTCATTATGCATGTATTTACAATGTATAGGTATATTGTGACATTGGTTGTCAGTCACTCAGTTTATTCACTGGGAAATTATAAACGTTACGTCTCCTCCCACGCCGCCCACGCAAACTTTCATATTTAGTTGGCTGCTAAATTTTCGCTTTGCTTTATTTATTTAATAATTAATTAATTAATTATATTTTAACGAACTTTGTGATCGTCTTGACTTGACCGGCTTAATTTTCTAAATTGACAATGCGCTTATTTTGATTTTTTACATTCATTATTTTACTTAGATGGGTTGATTATCCCCTTTACATTATTATGTTTACATTTTGTTATGCTATTATAATACTGTTGTGTTTGTTGTATCGTTTGTTATGTACTATGTTGTTGCGTAATTATTTTGTTTAGCGACAAAAGTGTCCAGCAAGCAGCTTGAAGGTCCGGAAGGTGCCAATCTGTTTATATACCATCTCCCCCAGGATTTCGCTGATTCTGATCTCGTGACCATGTTTTTACCATTTGGTAACGTTATATCGGCAAAGGTTTACATTGATAAAGAGACCAAACTGTCCAAGTGTTTCGGTAAGTCGCGCTGGTGCACATTATATGAGCGGAAAACGGGGAAAAATTACGCGATAAGTTATACTAATTATCTTTATCAATATTTTTTCTCTTTTACAAAAAAAATATATATATATATATATATTAAAGCGTTGGCACGAAGTTTTGTATACTGTCAAAAACGATGTTATTTAATTTTGTATCCGTGACATTGAAATTTTAACGATGTGAAAATAGTTGAGGATATTTCCAATACTTTCGTGTGTGCGCCACTCCGCGAGGTTGGTCACGGATACCTTTAATGGGAAACACATATTTTTTATCTATGCAATAATCGGTCAATATATATGTTTCTTCAGATTTTTTATCTTTACATTTTGGGTTTGGGGGGGGGACGATTGCTCACTTATGGAGTCAACCTATAACTGCCCGTTTATTGTACACCTATTTTACCCTACCAATAATTAGTTAAGTATAATTATGCCTATAATTATTGGAATAGAATAATATATCATATTATGTTGTCTTGTTGTATTGTCTTGCTTTTGCCTGTAGTGCAATTTTATCTAATCATAAATTAGTAACAATATTAGGGTGTATATTATGCTTATATTATAGACATGCCTGAAAAATGACGTCCAACAGTATATTGTTTACAGTATATCCTTGACAAACAATATTCGACTGTTAAGAAAACGCAACAACTGTGAATTAGTTCTTTTTTTGTATCGCAAGCTCGCATTCCGCAATACAATAACATATTGCATTAGTCAGTAACATTAGTTATTGACATTAATCACGTGGAATTGTCATCTGTTTGATTGTCGCGTGTTTCAACTCGAAATAAAAACCAACGATTTAAGAAATCGTCGCGCCAGCATGTGTTTTTCCAGTTATACCGTATTACAATGCAAATTTTCGTTCACTATATTCAATAGCGTACTGTTAGTTTCGATAATAGAATAAATAGACCATTACCAAACTTTTAGGTAAGAACATTATCTGTATTCTCTTGTTGGTTTTTACGATATTTAAATTTTTAAGTGAGTTCTGAGTATATAAAATATTAATATTTGAAAATGCTCATAATTCATTTTAAAATTATATCATTGTTAAAAAACATTACAACGATAGAACACGGATAATATTTGTACCTAACAATTTAGTGATTAAGATCAATTCACTCAAATAAATATAAAAACTACTAGGTATTGAAACTGTAGTGAACGAATATTTGCCATGTTGTAGGCGTGTAAGACGGAGACGACATAACGACGTCCTCTTAACTAGCTACTTAACTACTTAATACTAAGTTTCAAAATCGAATCAAAACTTTCGGTTTTGGGGCTTGTCCGTAGATTTGCTGGAGGACCAAACCGTAGTTGCACGTGAGCAAGACAATGGAGACAAAGTATACACGAGTGGTTGCGTCCTCTTAAATTAATATAATAATGCATGCTTCCCGTAGACCTTTGGTTTTTAGCGGTATTGATCTAATCGCCTCGTCTGGTAATAATAATTATATTATATTATTAATACAGCAATAATAGTAAAAAAAAAAGAAATAATTAAATCAAATTGACAACCGATCGTATTTTAATGAATAATAATAATAATACACAACTATGCTCCTCGCTTTACACACAAAATACAAATATGTCTGCTGGACAATGCTCAGTAATTGGTTAAGTCTCGCCGCAGTGAGTATATATGTGTATAACGAATCAGACGATTAATAATCTTACGCCAGCGCCGAAACGAGCACGACAAAGCATAAAAGTACTTGTTTTCTTCTGTTTCAAAAAAACTTAGCTACAATAAAAATTGAAGATAAACATTTTCCAGTTGTAGAAATAAATTCAGCAATTAGGGTAAATGAATTCGTTTTTCCTACGACTGGCTTAAATTTTGATCACACTACATTCCATTACGTAATATTTGTTACTTAATTACTCGTCATACGCATACACACACAAAAAAAAATGTTTTCGTATCAGAAAATTATAAAAGGCACGTTTGAAACATAGTTTTCTTTAAAATGGTCCTCTATTTAAAGTTTATTATTATTTCGTTGGATATTTATAACGAAACGCAGATGTTCGATTTAATAAAAAAACGCGCAACAAATAACAAATTTTTTATTTTTATTTTATTTTTTAGGTCGTTTAAATATTTGAACTGTGCGTGTGGGGCTGGATGTTTCGCTCGCGTGTCATAAGACTAATTTTTGAAAATGTTGATTTTACATTTTTATTGATATTTTACACTCGGATAATTCCGGCCCCATGACTGTTGGCATCATCGYGGGCGGTCTGCAGATTCCGATTCAAATAATGAATTTCGTATTGATTTTCGTCGCAACATTCAATCCTCCTCCTCTTTACACCGCGACCGTTCGGCAAAAGTGAAAAAAAATATACATATCAAATATTCCGACAAACAATGTAATATTTTTTTTTTTTGCCGAACGTAGTTTTGTCCCTCGGGGGTGGTTTTTATCGCGTAGATGTGATAATAATTCACGGTGTAGACCTCTGCACGAGACGTGTTTGATTGTGGTGCTGGTGGGTTCGCCTAAAACAACGACGAGCATGCATGATAATACATTGTTGTATCTATTTGTATTTGCTACTGTGAATTGTGTACTTCTGGTGCAGTCGAACTTGGCCAACTCGAAATACGTTGTTGAGTATGATAACTCTGATTTATCCGGTCCTCGGCTCTTCCTATTTGAATAGTGTATGAAAAACAAAAGATTATATTGTGCTAAATTCAACGTTTTTTTATTAGTATGCGACAAAGGGCTAAATCTGAAATGATTTATTTTTTTAGTCTTTAAATTGATATTTCCCTGATTATTTTACTCCATGTGCAGATTGTGATTAACACCATGTAAAATCAATAAAACATACCTAACTGGTAATTTTTTTAATCACTTAAAAATAATACAATATCTAATTCAAAAACAATACATAATCATATATTAATATATGCGTACTAGTATTTCCTAATATTATTTTATACCCTATAACGAAATGTTGACTCTCAAATTACCTCAATTTCGAGTTATCAAGTTTTGACTGTATTGGCGTATTGGCTGCTACTCATTGTCGAGGGAGTAGAATAACCATGGATAATTATTTAATAATATAATATCCACCATCATTCAAAATACTAATAATAGATGATCTTGATCAGTGGCGTAAGTTTTATTGAACTATGGGATTCCAAAAGTCCTCAAAATCCGTGACAGTATTTGCCCCCCCCTCTATTACCACCAACAGTTTTTCACTGATTTTCGTATTTCAGTTACCAAAACTAATTAAATTTAATGTATTTTAAAATATAAATAGATACACATAGATTTAAATGGCGATTTCTAAGTTCAAAAATTTCAAATATTATACTTTTGCGACCCTAGTATTTTTCAGAGGTAGCAAGTGTGACTCCCCAATTTAGGCCACTGATCGTGATAGGTATATCGATTAGATACCATCTACATGATGGTTAATACATAATATTTTGACTGATAATTACAATGATGATTTTAATAATATAAACATATCGTACGAAATACTCACATTTTTTTTTTGTTATGTTCATTTTATTTAGGGTTCGTGTCGTACGATAATGCGTACAGCGCACAGGCGGCTATACAGACGATGAACTCGTACCAGGTGGGCAACAAAAGGCTGAAAGTGCAACTCAAGAGACCCAAAGAAGCGTCCAGGCCGTACTAACAGCGCCAACCACCGATCGACCGACCAATAACCACGACCGATCGTGCCACGCACCCGGCAAGAACGGTTGTGTACTCCCTTTTGTTTTTGTTTAAGAAGACATGAAATATAATAATAATAATAATATTGTTATGTGTGTACATAATAATACTTGGATTCTTTTAATTTTGTTTCGTTTTTTGTTTTTGTTTTTGTTTTGTTTTGTTTTTATTTTTATGTATATTATATAAATATGTACCTATATATCTACATGACACAGAATGATAGGAATATTTTTAATGCAGCTTTTGAGGTAAAATAGTATATTCGAGAAAGAAATATGTAATGAACTATATTATATTGAATTACGATAAATCGATACATAACTTAATTATATACTGACATTCTCGGTTGAACTATTTTATTATGGATATGTATATAAGTCTTATATGTATAAGGAAATACCTATGTCAGATTATTAATTTTGTTTTGTTTCCATGTATTTCTTCTTCATTATTATTATTATTTTTTTTTTTTGTTCTAATGTTTTTATTTCTTTACTAAAGGACCAATTTTTTGTTATTATTATTCTTTGGGACTCGCCTTTATGTTTCTATGGTTTTACACTTAACACTGAACAGTAGTCTTAAATTTATTAATTTTTGATCGGTAAATGACATTTCTAGACTGCTCTTTTATTATTAATATGTAATGTTTTTCTTTGTCATTTTCGAACTAATCGTGTATACCCTTGAAATTATTTGTTCGGCAATCAGGGTATTAAAGAGAGTATACCCCTAAAGAAATGTAATTTATTTGATAATTAATATTGATAATGTACTAAAAACTATTTGAATTACACACCGTAATGGTTCCTGTAGTTTAACAAAAAAAAAAAAAAAATAACTCAAAAAACTTGTTTAGCGTACAGTTTTGTAATTATAGGTGGTCAAATTAGTATACTTATGTGTAATAACTACCTAATAATAATGTTTGTTTTGTTTTTTCTTTTTAATTGCAACGACTTATAAAATTAAATTTTGTTCAGTATTAATTTTAATTTATTGTTTTTGCATGTGTTAATAATTTTATAGACTTTTTCAAATTGATGCCATTTTCATAACTACAAAGACTTACATTTTTGTTTAGGTGATATTATTATGTTTTTGTGCTTAAAGAAAATACTAAAAAAAATCACGTGTTCATGATTGTGAAAATTTGTCTTTTTGTCTTGTGTCCCGTTTGCATTTATATTATATAAAGTAATAATATTGTTGAATAAATGTTTATATGATATCAATCATCACGATCGTTGACAGGCATTATTGTGATAAAGAATAGCCTAATTTTGTTTTGTTTTATTATTATTAAAATGTTTTTTTTCTCCCCCCCTATTAATTAAAAGCATCAAAACTTAATTTTATTATATATTTGTTTATATACATATATATTATAGCACTGCTACTTGTGAGCTAGTAACTTAGTCAAAACGTATTGAATATTTTTAAAACTAGTGTTTTGGTGCTATAGCGATTTTAACATATTTTTTTTTTTTTGCATTAGGCTATATTATGTTATGTAATATTAGGTTAAGATATCTAGCCCAAGTGAAATGGTTTTTTTTTAAATTTTGTTTCAATAATTCTCCCCTCCAATTTTTGAAGACTCTTATTATATAATATATTTAGATAAAACACGTTGTAATATTATGTTTATTGATGTTCACTTATTGTTTGTGAAAAAAAGTTTTTTGTGTTTAAACATATTTTTTTCTGTTCATTTTTATGAAGTTATTAAATGGATACTTAATACAAATACATTTGCATGTAATAATGCCATACAATTAAGTCTTGTGTTGGCATTTGTGAGTTGATATGTTTATTTTCTGCGATACTTGTGTTTACTCATAAAATGCATTGCTATTATCAATATATTGTTTAGTTATATATCGAAACGAAAATGACAAAAAAATCATATTAATACATAAAAATCAATTCAATAATTGTATTACCTTTAAATTGAACTTACAAACTTATATGATTTATATCATCATAATTATTGTGCACTTTTTAACAGATGGCAGTAGCCAAATTAATAGTTTTAGCACAAAAAACAATACCTGAGGTTTTTTTTTCTCAAGATTTTAAGAAACCTACAATCATTCTATATTAGATTTCAAAAAACCATCCAATAAAACGCTTCAGGCGTTTCACCAATCTGACTTCACTAAGACTTAGAGATGCCTTATGCCTACCTTCATAAATAAATATAAAATAAAATATATTCAATAATTCCAAAGATTACCTGGTGGAGTGTAACTGCTGAGTGACTGAGTATCTGCCCATAAACGATAATCTCTTGTCACAAGCCTTTATTAACTATAAAATGTAATTATTACATTGATTAATATAGTATACTGTATAAATTGTAAATAATTTTAAGAAAAAAAAGTATTTTAATCTGATTGGTAGTTTTGTAAGGGATATATTGGTTATAAAACTAAATTTCAGTGTTATTTTTACTTGGCTAGTGATGATAGATGATACACGGTGATTTTGCATCAATGATTAGGATGTGAAACAAAAAAATTCAAAATTGGTCTCATTCTTTCAAAAATTTAGATAAAGAAATAATAGACAATAATTTGAAATGAAGACCAAAAGCTTCGCATTATAATTGAATTATATCATGAGAGGTATGTATTTAGGCGGTTAAGTAGAAACATTACTGATGTGGTAATATTTGTATCATTTTACGGATAAAATAATTTTTCTCACGTATAAGAGACTTGAGCGGCCGCGTCAAAAATGTAAACATTGATATTCGTTTCAAGTGTATCGACTATGGCATAAATTATATGTTTTTAAAAATTATTTACAAGTTGGTATACATTTTGAAATTGGGCACGGTAATGAAACGATTGGATTTATTTTTTGATTGAATTCGGAATTTTTGTTTGTTTTATGTATTTATTTTAGATTCTAATCGTGGTCAAATATTTATTTTTGTATATACACTATTCATTTGAAAATGAGTTTCGGGTTACTCTTTAGCTATATGGATATTAAAAAATGTACCTATTAATGTTTTCATTCATTATAATAATTTGAATATAGAAACAATTTTTGATCATTTTTATACAGTTACAGAAAGTACAACTTATGAGGAATCATATATTAAATGTTTTTGATTTTTTGATTTTACTGAACATTTTATCATGTAGACATCAATATGAAAATAAAAACTCAACATTTTAAATCTCTAATGTTATTATTATTATTATTATTATTATTTATTATTTTTTTTTTTGAGTTACAACAAAAAAATAATTGAGGAAAGCTCACTCAGTTGGTGTTATTGTTAGATTTCTATAGTAAACCATAATTCGATGTACGTGTGTGGCTTATAATAATTTGGTAACTTTCAATCAAATCCTCCTAAAAGTTGAAAATCAGATATCTTGTTGAACTAAAATCACGTAMACACGTGAAAACAATTTCAGACAAAAGAAAAATATAAAAAGAAGAAGCTAAGTGGATGACACTCTGCCGTTAAGAGTGTAGCCAGTAGGTCAAAAGTGGGCCACTGCGATAGGTGGTGTTAAATTTGAATTCAATGATACAATACATACATATATATGTATATATAATGTCATTGTTTTATACGAATCACATTTCATTGCGGAGATTTACCTACTTCCGCCAATAATCTATGATCTATACAGGATATTTTTTTACCATAGGTCATATTTAATTTTAAATTGTTATCACCCATTCGGTAGCCGATAAGTTGAATTAATTTTATTTCTATGTAATAATATTATAGGTACTCTAGAACGACTAGAACAGTGGTTTTTTGCGGTGCTGTTCCGAACCAAATATAGCCACGGTGTCATGCTGTGAATACCACGAAAGACAGCTTGGACAAAAAATATGTATAGTCATTATTAACGAATTTCCGTAGACAGATGGTTGCAAAAATTTTAAATTATGTATAATGAGCCGTCGTAGACCGCGGGGCTCTAAAATAATAAGTCTTATGATAAAACTTGTGTTTGAAATGCTTATATAGATAGGCCAGTCAAACACGTGGCCCTCAGCTCATTTTTTTTGTGTCTCGTGACTAATGAACAAAAACATGAAATAATAATAAATATATATACCTATATTAAAACATACCTACCGTGTCACAATACTAACTACTATACTAACCTAATTTAGATTCTTATAGAGAATAATGGTTTATTTTGGTACATAGGTAAACATTATTATACTGTCTTATCTTGTGATAAACAAAATATGTGAGACTCGCATAATATGAAGCACTTCAATGGTTCAATATATTTGGCCCACTTGATACTCTGAGATTGGCATGCCTTTACTAGTTGATAGTAGTATAGTGTTGTCCTTAAAAGTATCAGAAAGGGTCTTCCCTCATAGTGTGACCATCGCCATCCTCGTTCACCAATTGAGTTTTTGTAACACCTCGTAGATATGTATACAATATAATATATAGACATTATGTATAATATAAACGAGTTAAAAATATATATATAATATATACTACCTACAGGGGCGGACTGGGAATAAAAATCGGCCCCGGGGAAACAAATAATTCGGCCCAAAATTTAGAAAATTACTATTTTATTATTTTTTATTTTATTCAGTAAAGAAATGCAAATGATAAGTTAAATGTACACATAAAAAAGTATTTAAATGTTTATAACAATATGAAAACTACATAATTATTTAAAAATTTCTTTTGAAAAACTTTAAATACTTAACTAAAGATATACACATTTATCATAATAAGAACTATAGTTTTGAAAACTAATTGTCAAGAAAAAAAAAATACATACATATTATGTAATATTAAATTCTCGTCGTATGTGTATTATGTCGATTATTCTATAATTTTAAACTAATATTATTATTTCTTTGTCTACGTAACACAATTTTTACGTTTTTTCAGTTTTAATTTTATCGGCCCAAAATTTTACAAGCCCACTCGCCGCCTTAGCCAGTCCGCCCCCGAGTCTACCTATAATATACCTGGAGGCTGGAATATACAATAGGTATTGTAATATAGGTACAATAAACTTCTTCTATTATACCGAAGGCCTACACAGATCGTCTTCTATCAGAATCATTTTATAACATGGCTAGGATTTTATC